CCCCAAAACCCCAAAACCCCAAAACCCCAAAACCCCAAAACCCCAAAACCCCATTTTCTATCGATTTAATTGATAATTGATTCTAAAATAACATGAGTGAGGTAAGAGGCTTAAAGAAAGTAACCCTCTTACTTTAAATAGAAGCCTATTTTTAAAGTGACTCAGACAAATAAGAGGAAAAATAGATCCTTAAGTTCTACGCCAAAAATTAGCTCATTTGAGCAATCAGAGAATGGAAAGGGTAAGTAGAGCAAAAGAAGTCTCCTCAAAATGTGAGAAGAAAAAGTTTAATTTCGAGACTGCTCTCACATGCCTTTAGCCTCAGGTTTAAGAAGAATGCATTGCTTCATTTCTTTGCTAAACCTACTTGAATTTTAGCCACAGAGCTTGTGCCAACAAATTTTCTCGATACTTTTGGCTACTATTTGCACAAACAGAGTTAAGAGATTCTTAGCATATGATCCTAAAAAGTGGAGAATTTTGCCATAATCAGGCCAAAAATATTATTTTCCTCTATTTCCTCCCTCTTAGATCTCCAAGGGCATTCTCTTAACTAAATTCGTCCTAAGGTATTATGCCAAAACCTGAGGACTCCTAGTGCCTGAGCTTTTAACTTTTTTTAGTATCCATCAGAGGTGCTAGTTTAAGAAATTAATAAAAATTATTTCAGATCTTCCATTGGATTAACTTCATACATTTCGTACCTCTGCTCAGGCATTGGCTTATGAGTAAATACAAAGAGTCATTTAAAAATTTATTATCTTTAGTAATTAAGAAAGATTTTAAAAGTATGGAAATTTCCAGTCTAAATGATGCTTGGAGACCGCCCTTGCTTTAATTCACCCTCCTGATCGATTTTGAAACGCACTTGATTGAGAATGATTATAATTGAGCAATTTTATGAAACTCTGCCACCACTCTAAGCCCTCTTGGTGTATGTAGGAAGGAGATTAGTGGTAAATGGAGGTTAAAATTAGACTAGGAAAGACTAGCTGTTGACTATCTCTTTCTTTTAGGCTAGATTTAGCAAAAATAGCAGAGTTTTAACTTGACAGAAGGATTTCTAAATTATAAAGACAAAAAGCACTATAATGGATAACTTTAGGTCTGAAATCATCTCTTTTTTGATCTAGAAGTTTCTAAAATTAGTTTTTAAAATGAAAAATTGACTTAGATTTGAGCTTGAAATTTTTTAGTTAATTTCTAGAATTTTTAGGAAATCATCACAAAAACAGCCAGGTGAAAAGATTTCAAGTTTAACAGAGATGAATCAAATATGAACTCAGCTAGTACACTATCATTGAATGGACCATTAAAGGATAGCTCTGCTCTCTTGAAATCTTCTACTCAGAAATATGAAGAGTCAAAGGAACAATATGATTCAGACAGCAAGTCTCACTCTCAAAGAGGTATTTCTCTGGACAGTAAAGTATAGAAGCCGATAATGAACCTTATAAGCCTGCAAGCCGAAGCAACTACTCTTCAACTGTCACACAAATATTACAAACGTGGTTTGAGGCTCATATAGATTACCCATATCCCACAGAGCAAGAAAGAATCGAGCTTTGTGAGAAAACTGGACTTACAAGAAAGAAACTTAGAGTTTGGCTTATAAACTCAAGAAAGGTACACTTCTCTTTACTCTATAGAGAAAAACAGACAAGATTATCAAGAAGATGAACCCTAAAGACCTCAAAAGAGGTTCAAATCCAGCATCTTATAAGCCAAGGGTGCCACCATGCTTGAATGATCCTCAGCCAGACAGGTCCCGCCCTATGCCTATTTCTCCGAAGATTAATGTCTTCAGTCTGATCCAGGAGTACAACTCAAGAACCATAAGATTCTATCAGAAGAAAATGCAGGAGACTTGTGAAAGGAAGCTTAATTCTTTTTGTCGAATGCTGAACAAGTATTGATTTTGAGACAATATCGAGTAAGTTTTAACCTCCAAATGCCCATTCGGCCCTCCTCTCTAGTGCCTTATCAGTTTTTTATGACCAATTCCTGTAGTTTCGACCCCAAGAATATGGACAATAAAGAAAAAGAAGATTAAGAAAACGCCTCAAGTTGCCATTACAAGTGCCATAATTGATTTGACATGGTATTATTAATCAAAAGGATTCTAATTGCAATTTCTGAGCCTAAGGAAGGGGTTTTGGGGTTTTGGGGTTTTGGGGTTTTGGGG